GAGAAGTGTGGCAATTGACAACAACGACTGGCGAAACATACTAGAGAAGGATGAAACCTAATTAGGGTTTTAGTAGGTACCACTCATGATGACGATAAAATGCTATAATGGAAAAAAACATGGAGGGGTAAAAGGGCTCTGAAAAGGAAACGTTCATGACTAAAAAATGTAAAAGATTGGACGGACCTGGATATATATTTACTATTAAGATAAAGATCAATTGGCCGTGATAACGGCCAATCTTCAGTAATGGAAGGGCGTCTAAAGAAGAAGATGAACTAAGATATGAAGATACATGGAAGTATAATAGAGAATCCGACCCCTCGCCTAGTAAAGGTAAATGCAATGGTGGCAAGGTAGTAGAATGAAATGACTACATGATCATATTTAGCTATATGAAATATTTCATTCAATGAAAGATTGGGGAAAAATAAGATGATAAAAAGAGCACTGTTCATTCTGATTGGAAACAAAAACATTGGAAAACTTCATTGACACCGATCTATAACTGAATAAAAGATTATGATAATACAAAAAAAAAAAGATGGATGGAAGAAAAAATATGACAATAGAATACAACGAATAGAATACAATACAAACAAAGAGTATACGAATATAGGAAGGATACACCACTATATCTTTGGATTAAAAACAGAAAAATATGTTTTTTTTTAATCTCTTTCATTTGAATTTTAACTTTTATCAAAATCACGTTAGAAAGAAACAATAGCTTTTATTTTATTGAAAGATTATACCTTGAAAACGACATCCAATCTGGAAGCAATACTAAATAAAGAGTTTATTTACTGTGAGCTATTACCCACGAGATATTTCAAAAACTATATAATACAACCATTAAATATATTCAAGGGATATAAATCTGTTAAGATATTATAGCCTACAGAAGTGTTTCAGTAATTCGATGATACTAATACCAATACCGTTGCGTTTAAAATTAAAATCAAAAGGAAATAAAAGTTTTAACAGACGACAAGTTATTGAATACTCGGAGACGTTATACCACGCATTTCTTAAATTAAAAATAGACTTTACCACTACCATTTCCTCAATTAACCTCAATTACACATTAAAATGATGCAGAATAAGGTTCAAGAATAAAAACTATGAAAATTAGACAAAAAAAGCATCATGAAAGGAACCAGTACCAAGGGAAAATGAAGGAAACATTTTAATAGCTTCTAATATCTTCAGAAATTTATATGAGTTTATATTTGGGATAAAACAAGATTTTTTTTGTACAACTAATATACGGTAGGGGACCTTTGAAATTGAAATTTAAATAAATATAAACACAATACCCTGAAGTACTACAAACTTAACTGCAAGGTCCTATCTGTATGAATAGAAGTTTCAGTTCTTAGTTTCTAATACCGTATGAAAAAAAATTGTATGCAGTACATGAAAAATTAAATTTTTCGGACAAACCTTGATTCTTGGATTGGCCAATTGAATAGTCGATAAGGCAATGAAGCCTTAGTATAATTGTAATAATAAAAAAATTCGATAAATACCGTCTCTCTTCCTACTCTCAGCTAAGAATAATCATCAAAGTCCTCGGAGATTAAATTTACAGAAGAGATATAAGTATCTAAATATCTAAACAATGAGCCCTAACAGGACAATAATACGTTATTGATTTTTACCATATCATCAACCATAAACTGTACAATTTTGTTATGACAGCTCCAGTTGATCAAATTTGATCTCAGATATATGCGGCCTATAAGTACTGGAAAGTAGACATTAGCCATTATCAATAGTCTACAATAGCGTTATCATGTTCTCAAACGTATTCTTGTCCTCAATGTAAAAAGACACAATGATAATGAAAGTATAAGAATACGTAGGGTCCGAGATCTACCAGACGAGAAAAATTAATACCTCCAAACTTAACGAAAAATAATGGCAAGAAATAAAGACAATCAATTGCAACATTAATAAAATTCTGAAATCCACCGTCCACAAAAAGTATACACTCCAATAGGCAGAGGAACAGAGATTTTTTAAATAAAATCGAGAATATATGAACAGTTATCACGATAGCGTTTGCAACAAAGAAAGCTGGAATGCTGAGAAGATATGAAAAGGTTAATTCAACTAAAATATTGTTGATGCTTATTGTTGAAACTTAAAGGACGTTTACAAGGAGTGTAAATTAATCTCAACGCAAAATCTTGAAGGGTACGTTTAAAAATGAAGTTTATAAATGTTCAATCCTTAATTGAATGGATCAATGGATAATTATATTTATTGGATATACTCTTAGTTTGATACTTTAATTCCTGGGCTGGTTATATTAAGAATTTAAATAAGGTAATAAAGTACATAATAGAGTAATAAAAATTACCGGAGATCAAATAAAAATAATTAAAAAGATACAAAAACTGATGATGGTAACCAATCATGTATGCAATTGAGTAAACTTCGGAGCTTAAATGAACAAAAGAGACACACGTAGGAAGAATAAGCGACGCTAGATAAGTATAACCTAAATAATTAGGCTATGTTTTCACAACAAATTGCTTTACATAGGGATCACTCATACACTATGTGTTTTTACAGTTGAGCATTTTGATCGCAGATGTATGTGACTTATAAGTAGTAAAAGGTAGGCCATTATCAACAATCTTCTAAAAGGCTCTCCAGATTTGTTCTCGTAAACAACATTTACGATGGTAAATAAACAGGAAGCCCAAATTGAAACCCGAAAGATAGATCAGACAATAGTTCAATACAAAATATGGAAGGTAGAATACCATCAGAAGGTAGAGTACAACATAATATAAACAAACGTTCGTATTCGAAAGCAATAGTAAAATCAATCACAATACATGGCGCGGTATGTTTTTTACTAGATATGGCAAAAATAACAAAAAGAGAAAATGGAAGCTCTTGAAATGGATCTCTAACGTTTATGGCACGTTTCAAGTAGTTATGCAAAGAACGAAAGAACTAAAACTGAAGGTATAACGCGTTGTACAAATATTACAGAATCAGAAAAACAGAGAATCTTAGAAAGACGACTAGAATGGTTTGGACATGTAGGAAGAATGAACGATAATTGATAAGCAAAGAAAATACTAGCGTATATTCCGAGGATAGAAGAAAAAAAACCTTCTTAAGAATGGAAACAAGACTTGAATAGAGTGATTACGGGAGATGGATATTGAAATCAAACGCCGTAGGAGCCAGTTGGAGGGCCGTATGAGTCCTTGTGGTGCCCGTTTGAGTGTGCCAATGATAAGATAAAAGATAATACCAACTATGCTTTGATTAAAAGCGCCTTTAGCCAGAGAACTACGAAGTTCTCTGCTTTAGCTATGGAAAATATAGAGTAATATAGAAACCTATTGTTGTCAGTAACGGATGGTGGGATCCAGCAATATACCCACCTACTTAAATATAGGTGACCGTTGAATTAAAAAAAAACTAGAGTATAACGCTTAAACGTGTAAATAATACTTCGGACTGTCTAGCATAGCAATATTAAGAAGAAAACATGAAAGAATTACACATATAAAAACCATCGAAAAAAAAAAAAGATTTAAAATCTAATAGAGTAGGTATAAAAAAATATAAGTATTTATTCAAATATTAAAGAAATTCCATAAAAACAAATATTTAGTAGATAGAAAACTTAAAAAGTACCTGCTTTGCATACTAAAATAATATGTGTAGCCGACAATCAAAATTTATTGTGCTATCCTCATGCTTGTTGGAATTGTACCAAAAAGATTATATTTAAATTTTCGCGCCATATACGTGGATACTTCACGGAAGGTGGCGCTGGAGCTCGTATATTGATTTCTAAATATTTCAAGGTCAACAGGATGTTTAAGATGTATTTTGAACCGTGACGTCAGAAGCTTGGGCTGTGTTCCAACAACCTAATTACTTTTGATATTTTTTTGTCTGGGATTTCCATTCATTAAATTTCTTATCACAGCAATATTTTTTGTTATACTGGCACTGAAACTGAATTATTTATGCAAGTACGTACTTAAAACAATGAAGTACCAAATTTCAGGCAAAAATAAAAATGGCTTGGATATTAGTTTCTAGAGAAAAACAATATGAAAAGATAAGGACTTAATATCTAAAAAAATACCCAGATAACCAGTCATAGTGTTAGGCATTATTCAGATTAACTAGTAAACAAAATTAAAGCAACTTACTGCCTGCTCAAACAATGGAATGCGAGTTGTATACGAAATAGTTGGTTGATGAAATTTGTTGCTAATATTCTACTTACGAACTTCAGACTTGGATCCTAAATTTGTACTTGACTAATCTTAAATTTTGTTAAAATCAACAAAAATACCTACATAGGTCTGTAATAGGCTTAATTTTCAAAAGGTCAGTTGAAGGGCGGTGTTTAACGGTGGTATTTAAATTTAACAATTATTTCAATATTGCATTTAAGTGATATAAATATATCTTTATTGCTTTGATAAGAAAATTAATGAAAGTCATCCACCAAATTACTTGACGTATTTGAACACAGCCAAATTCGTCTATAGAAATGGAGGCCATTACTTTTAATGTACACAGAATTAGCTATTTACGTACCTAGTTAGAAATATGCTAATATTAAAGTTGGGAACGATAAAATATTTTCTCAAAATTTAAAAAATAATTATTAGGATCGTTTGTGTTACCTTCATTGATCGTATGCCATTTTTGGCATAACTGATAAAAATATTTTAAAAACCAGCCTTTTCACGTAAAAACCTAAATGATTTTACCCATTTATATGTTTTTACGTTTTCAAAGGCTGAATTGTATCGCAATCTTGTTAATTCTTTATGTTCTGGGTATAATTAGCCCCTAAGGTGTGTACCCACGCCTATTAGGAATGTGACTGCGAAACGGCGTCCATGATTTCCACGTTATTTAATCGATCTCAACGTTAAATTTAACATATTTCTGGCCTCGAAAACAGAAATTTGTGAAATTTTGCCGTAAAAATTAATGCAAACCTTTTAATATCACATACAAGCGCCATTACGACCTAAATAAGTATTCACTTATCAGGAATATTATTGAAATGGCATGAAAAGTCACTCATTCACTGTTTTATCTGTCCTGATATGATGAGGGGACAGATATTTTGTTTAAGAAATTACGCATATTTTCATGTAAAAGTAAACCGACTATTCTCTTTGGCGAGGAGACCACAAATGATTTTATTACGATGAAGAAAATTGATATCGAGCTGCTGGTAGCTTGGAAACGGCCGCTGCGTTTACGTAGTTGTCAGTTCCAACCAATGAAAACGCCGCAAACCAAAGCCATTGGAGGTGTATGACCTTCTACAACCTAAATACTTTCTACAACGCAGCATAAAGTAATTAACTTTATTTCATTTAAGTTTTATACATTTACAATAAAAAATATTAAATTCACGTAATTATAAATTAAATACAGTAAAATGTGTAGTAATAATATAAATTCTTTAATTACTTTTATTTGTACAATCTCGACATTCGCGACATCTATGATGTAATAGATTTACTGATATCGAGAAAATATCGTTTTCTAACTTAAAGCAAATTCAAAGTTTGATTTTTTGTGATTTATTTTTATTAGGTTTATATAATTAATTAAATTTTAAAATAAAGTTACAAAAGTACAGCTATAATAAATTTAAGTTCCCATTTAACGCATGTTGCTGTTATTTTTATTTAAAGTTTAATGTCAAGAAAATTTAAATTAAATAGAAACAATAATAAAGAGAAAGTAAAAAAAAATTGCCCTCTAACTGGCAGTGGGAGGAATTGACCATCTCTAAGTATGCAAACTTAGAGGTGGAAGAATCACTAATAGATCCTAAATAAGGACTTATGGTGTTAAGATTTAGCAACTTAAAAATTTAAAACAATTTAGTAACTGAACATAAGGGAGTGAAGAACGACAGAAACTCTAGTGGAAATTCTATACACCTATATTACAGAAGTGACGTCCCATCATCAGTACTGAGGAGAGGTGCACTCATAATGTATAAAAATATAATAAGAAGTACGATACAAAAACTGTCAAAACTACTAAAAGGAATAAGCTTTTTTGATATCGCTATAGAGGCACGAATTTTAAATAATTCCAAGGACCAAAAACATCGCAGAAAATATAATAAGAGATGAGGCATTGGTAGATTTCTAAAAAAACGCCTGATATCGTAAATAAAAAAAAAGTGGAAAGTTATGCAATGGGAGTTTATTCAATATATCTCATAAATGTAGTTATAAGCTTATAGGTACGTCAAAACCAAAATAATATTTTATCTTATCGGGCAGACAATAAGGTAAATAAAAACAAACAATTTCCTAAGTTTGTTGGCAAGAGAGTGTGACATGACTGCTGTATTTCTTCTGTTTCCAATATATGCGTAAAAATTATAATACAATTTTATTTATTGCCCTTGCTGCAAATTAGCAGTAAATACAAAAAAGACTGGAAATCAAGCTTTTATTCAATGTTTTTCAAACAGTTAGGACCTTCATAATTCTTCTGAAAAATCTTCATAATATTACAATGTATAATATTACAATCACATTCCATTAAAATTGATTTAATAGATTTCGCATAATAATTTTGCAATCTATTTTTTTTTTAATAGAACTTTTTTAAAATCTTGCACAACAAAAACTAGACCATACAGCAGTTTGCAATTTTTTTTACTTGTTACTTATAAAAACACACTTATAACGTAATTTATGGAATTGAAATTTGGGCTTTGACGGCCCCAGAAATTATTAAAATTATAAACAATTTTTTGGCTTATAAACAAATCGAATATCTTTTTAACCATTAGGTTAAATTAAATTCAGGAGACGGCGTTGGAAAAGACTTGGCACGACGTTTTTTTATAAAAGAAAAAAATTTGAAATACGAGTAGTGGCTCCTCAGACGGAACCGGTCAAAGTTGAGACGAAACATTTGAGCCGAAGTTATAAATAATAGGATGATAACCTTTTAACCATTACTTTATTCCCTCGGAGTTTTTTCTACATAAAAATTTTCATATTTTCAAGATATTTATAACATTATATTATAATAATAAAAACCATCGGTATTGCGCTTTAAAAATACCAAAAAATTAAGTTGAAGAAAATTAATAATAAACAAATTCTTTTTAGCTAAATAATTTTAGCTAAAAGCATTTTAAGAAATAATCCTGAAACAGAGTTAATTCGATTCACTCCCCGGCTCTCGACGCGTTAGGGTTTCTGAGCTGTTCGACGTGAATTCCTGTCCTGGCATTTGGTTTTCACCTCTGGCTGCGTTAAGTAGTTGAGTTACTGTGACCAAATGCCCATTTTGGTAGTTAGTATTCGCCTCTGGTTGCGTTGAGTAACTGAGTTACCGTTGCTAACTACCCATCTTCCTGTCTTTTGATTTCTTTTTCTTTGTTCTCCTGAAAGAAGCTACATACAATTGTAGCGAAACGTCGAGATGAACCCATTTTGGGTCATCACAAATGACACGGTCCAACCCGGAAGACGAATAAACTATAATTCTGACTCTGGGCGTGGAAGCCCTACGATTTCACAATAATACTTTCTCGAAGGCAGATGATTGTCGTCTCGAGATGCAACTGTTCGGTACACTGCTCGCCTCTTAGATCTGGGCATCCCGATCAGCAACTCTATATGTAGGCACAGGATGACAGTATCTACAGGACTCTCCAGCTCTGCATGGACCCCTCAAGAAGAAATAATAGTCTACTGACTTTGAAAGACACGATCTCTTCGAGTTAATTAAGTTAAGTAATTCGTACGCCGGTTTGTCAGAAGATCACTTCAAGCATGCTTCTGACAATCTTCCAATCCAGATTTTCTAGTTCATGGCCTATCTTGGGTAAGGCCAGATTCTTGATGTCATAATTGCACACGAATTTTTTCAAATTAGTTAGAGCACGCCATATATCCTCGTAGCTTGCCTTGTCTGTATATGACTTACTGGTCACCATATGCAGCAAAGATCGATGACCATCTTCTAATTTCAGTACTCTTCTCCAACTTTGGGCTGCTGATTTTTTTAACTCGGACCAGTGGACTAGAGAGACGTTATGCGGAACACTAAAAAGATCCTGCTGTACTTCTGTGGTTACGCCGAATCTAGCACTTTTTCTCTGTGCGTAATTTGACAGAAATTAATTAAAGCCATCTCTGATCTCATGCTGAAGGGTTTTTGCTTCTTCTGTCTCATTTGAGCCAGCATAATGTGCAAGACGATTTATGTGAACTATTATTGGTTTACCTTTCGGCAACTTCTTAATTCGGTATATTACACCATTTATTTTCTTTTTAATTGCATACGGACCTTCCCATCGTCTTTGCAGTTTAGGAGATAAACCTCGACGACCTTGTGGATTATAAAGCCAGACAAGATCGCCAACTTCATAGCTTTCATTCTTGCATCGACAATCATATTGATCTTTCATTCTGTCACTGGCTAACTGGATGTGTTATCGGACAAGTTCATGAATGTTGTTCATTCTTACCTTTAGGCGGTCGACATAATCTTCGCTTGCCAAATGTTCTTCGGAAGGTCTACAGCCAAACTCTAGGTCTCAGTGTAAACGAATTTCACGACCTAACATCAGGTAGGTTGGAGTCTGGACTGTAGGACTTCACGGCCGAGCGATAGGCCATTAGGAATAAATGAATGCGCTGGTCCCAATCTTTTTGATGTTCTGATACAACTTTGGACAGGTGTTTACCCATCGTTCGGTTCATCCTCTCGACCATTCCATCTGATTGAGGATGCAGAGGTTTTGTTCTGGTCTTATTGAAACCAATCAATTTACAAACGTTTTAGAAAAGGATTTACTGGAAGTTTCGCTCTTTGTCAAAGTGGATCTCCAAGGGAACACCAAATCGGCTAAAGAATTCTTTAACAAGTACCTCTGCAACGGTAACAGCTTCTTGATTTGGTATCACATAGGTCCTAGTTTGTAAAATAATCCATGGCTACCAAGATATATTTATTTCCATCATTTGTCTCTGGAAGGGGAACTGTAATGTCGATTGCTACTTTTCCCATAGGACTACCAACATTTTACTGTTTCATAGGTGCCCCTTTTTACCAACTGGACCATTACTGGTTGCACACAGTTCACATTTCCGGCGCCACCTTCTTACATCATCTTTACAGTTCACCCAATAGAACCGTTCTCGAACATTTTGCAGAGTCTTCGTAATACCAAAGTGTCCACCTGATTCACCGTCATGCAACTGAAGCAATACTTCTGGCGGTTTACTTTTAGGTACAATCAACTAAAGCTAAGATTCTGTACCATCATCGTTCTCAAAGGTTCTATACAGAAGATTATCTTTTAGCACTAGACAATTCCATTGGCTCCAGTAAGACTTGACTTCTGAACTACACGTACTAATGTCTTGCTAAGAAAGTCTTTCACTTCGACGCATTCAATCCAATACTCTTTTTATGCATGGATCATCTGCTTGAGCATCTTGTAGCTGTTGAGGCTACCATTGATCATTAATGACGGTGGTTCGTCTCACTGGGCAAAGTCGTTCTCCTAATTTAAGACAGTGATGACAATTTGCATTGTATGGCCATCTTGACAGCATCAGCATTTGAACGAGTTTTTTCAGCCTGGTGTTCGATCTGTTCTAGCTTTCTGACTGTTGTACTATTTTCTTGCAATTTACAGCGAATGTGACATACGTCTTCACCATTCCAACATCTGGTTTCGCGTCTCTTTGGCATCGTGTTACGAACTACTTTCCGTACGATTTTCTCCAGACGTTTATCGTTTTGTATGTCGCTCTCTTCAGAGGTTCGTACTCGATAGCTCCGTGAAGCTCGACTAGCTGTCTCGTGTTTCAAGGCAATGGCAACCACTTCATCTAAAACTTTCGGTCTTGGCATAAGCCAGAAATTCTCCTGACAAACGAAGACCTAAGATTCCTTAGATAATTTTAAGACTGTAATAATGTTGGATAATCATATAATGTTTATTAGATTGCTTTCATCAGAAGTTCCATATAGTGGAACTCTAGGGGTAGTATATCCCCTGCATGGGGTTGATTAACTCGAACTTACTGGATACCCATAATTAGTTGATTGGTTCTCTAAGTACAATAATAGAGAGAGTACCCAGTTGACGGATGAAAACACGAGCTTCGACTGTTAACTCTTA